AAAGAGCGCTGCAAAATCCCCCTGCAATTTAAAAGTAACCACTAATTGTTTATCTGGATAATACACATATTTGATTAGATAATTCACTGGGCATAAGCCTTTATGGCTCATCTAGTTAAATTTTCAACTTTTGATTTGGCGATCGATAAAAAAACTAGTTATTTTTTGTAAAAATTAAGAAAATAAAAAAAAATATTTACTATTGTTGTTTATTTATTTTAAACACATTCTATTTAACATAATATAACCCATTATCAAAATAGTGCAAAATAAATAGCGAAACGATTAATGGATTGCCTAACTATAGGGCTTATATTATGGTAAATGAAATATATTTAAATACAAGGTTTATCTATAAATTTAAAAAATTATTTGAGGTTATTCAAACTAATTTTAAAATAATTTATGAATTTTACTAATTTATAAAATAAAATTACAATGAAAACAAAATATTTAATTTCTCCAGCCAAGATTCAAACGCGGGATTTCCGCCATTTTTAGGATTTTAGTTTTAATACTCGTAATTAAATTAGTTTCATATAGTTTGATTAAAATTTAGTTTTTTCTTTTCAAAATATGGACCAAATAAAAATAAAAATGTTATTTATCTATTCTACACAAAAATAACTAATTTTAATGTATATTTAATCTTAATAACTAAAATATATACTGACAATTAGTTTGACAGAATTGTCACTTATTTAAAATTTTAAAAATAATAGTAGTTGGGTGTCCAAAATATGAACTGTGATTTGTGTATTTCATTTTTTTTTGCAGTGTTCTCACTATCTAGAATGGATATGAAATATATTCGTTCAGTTGAAGGCAATAACATATTTTTTCGTTTTGTGGTCTGTGCGTAGATAAGCTAATATCCATGTGGGTGTAGAAAAAAATAATTTAATAAATATTATGAAATATACATGACATCGTTTTGGAGAATCGATGTATTGGCCTCAAAAAATTAAATTACAAAGTAATTTTACTTAAATTTAAATTAAAAATGTAATCAATGGCCTTGATTTCCATACCCAAATTTCGATTTTTTTGTGCACGATAGATCAGAATGTATCAAAGGTTAATAGCCTGTGGATGTAGAAAAAATTAATTTTTCCTACGACCACTTAGGAAAGTGACACATATCACACTATATAGTCCTATGGAAAGTGCCCTATATCACACGCGTATGAATGAATAAGAATTTACTTTCCACCCGCGTACGAATATGCTACTTTCCGCAGTAGGTGTCAGAAAATGTTAAACACATAATTTCTATTTTGATCTATGTAATGTCCATATTAATACTAAAATCGATATGATTGTTAAATTATTGAAATTGTTGTAACTTAGATCCTAGATATTTATTTTTAACAATTATTATTAAAATAACTAAGATATATTTGCTTTTTATTATGTTTGAACACATAAGCGATTAGATCAATCCATTACCGTAAGGCCTGTTAGCTCAGTTGGTTAGAGCGTCAACTTTGCAATTTGAGATAGTTCAGCCACCGCGTTCAAATCCTGGCTCTGCAGAATTTTTTTTTGTTTTTTAATTTTTTTTTTATTTGTTTAGAAATTATGAAAATTGAATAAATACGATTATTATTGATTATTTTTTTAAATGCATTTTAATTATTATAATAATCTGGTTTCACATTTTTTGATGAAATTATTTTGTGGTCGTAGGAAAAATATTGTACATCACTTATGTGAAAAGTGATTTTCCACACTCTTAATGTAATATACTATTTCCTTATTTTGTACAGAACAACGTTTTGGGATTTCTTAAGTTTCGTAAGAGAGGCAAGGCCGTGTTTCAGGGTTTTGGATTTTCACATTTTAAGGGGGGTTAAAAGTTTGTATAGAAGTATCGATTTTTTTATAGGTAGGAACTTGTAAATTGGAATTATAGCTACTCATCACAAATAAATAATGGTGTGTTTTAAGAATTTTGGATTTTCATATTTTAAGGGGGAAAAGGGAGAAAATGGGAGAAAGGAAAAGAAAGGAAAAAAAGGGGAGAAAGGGGAAAAGGTGAAAAAGGGGGAAAAGAGGAAAAAGGGGAAAAGGGGGAAACAGGAGAAAAGGGGGGAAAAGGGGGGAAAAGGGGGAAAAGGGGAAAAAGGGGGGAAAAGGGGAAATGGGAGAATGGAGGGAAAGGGGGAAGGGAAAGGGGGAAAGGGGGAGAATGGAGAGAAAGGAGAGAAAGGGAGAAAGGGGAAGAAAGGGGAAAAGGGAGAGACAGGGGAGAAAGGGGGAACGGTTGCATGCGGTATCGCTTTTTTTAAAGGTAGGAATTTGAAAATTGCATTTGTAGCTACTCATTATTAATAAATAATGTCGCATTTCAAGGTTTTTGGATTTTCACATTTTAAGGAGGGGGAAATGGGGAGTATCGTAAAACTAAATAATAAAAACAAAATAAATAAAAATTAATAAAAATTAATAAAAATTAATAAAAATTAATAAAAATTAATAAAAATTAATAAAAATTAATAAAAATTAATAACAATTAATAAAAATTAATAAAAATTAATAAAAATTAATAAAAATTAATAAAAATTAATAAAAATTAATAAAAATTAATAAAAATTAATAAAAATTAATAAAAATTAATAAAAATTAATAAAAATTAATAAAAATTAATAAAAATTAATAAAAATTAATAAAATTAATAAAAATTAATAAAATTAATAAAAAATTAATAAAAATTAATAAAAATTAATAAAAATTAATAAAAATTAATAAAAATTAATAAAAAATTAATAAAAATTAATAAAAATTAATAAAAATTAATAAAAATTAATAAAAATTAATAAAAATTAATAAAAATTAATAAAAATTAATAAAAATTAATAAAATTAATAAAAGTTAATAAAAATAATAAAAATTAATAAAAATTAATAAAAGTTAATAAAAATTAATAAAAATTAATAAAAATTAATAAAAATTAATAAAAATTAATAAAAATTAATAAAAATTAATAAAAATTAATAAAAATTAATAAAAATTAATAAAAATTAATAAAAAATTAATAAAAATTAATAAAAATTAATAAAAATTAATAAAAATTAATAAAAATTAATAAAATTAATAAAAATTAATAAAAATTAATAAAAATTAATAAAAATTAATAAAAATTAATAAAAATTAATAAAATTAATAAAAAATTAATAAAAATTAATAAAAATTAATAAAAATTAATAAAAATTAATAAAAATTAATAAAAATTAATAAAAATTAATAAAATTAATAAAAATTAATAAAAATTAATAAAAATTAATAAAAATTAATAAAAATTAATAAAAATTAATAAAAATTAATAAAAATTAATAAAAATCAATAAAAATTAATAAAAAATTAATAAAAAATTAATAAAAATCAATAAAAATTAATAAAAATTAATAAAAATTAATAAAAATTAATAAAAATTAATAAAAATTAATAAAAATTAATAAAAATTAATAAAAATTAATAAAAATTAATAAAAATTAATAAAAATTAATAAAAATTAATAAAATTAATAAAAATTAATAAAAATTAATAAAAATTAATAAAAATTAATAAAAATTAATAAAAATTAATAAAAATTAATAAAAATTAATAAAAATTAATAAAAATTAATAAAAATTAATAAAAATTAATAAAAATTAATAAAAATTAATAAAAATTAATAAAAATTAATAAAAATTAATAAAAATTAATAAAAATTAATAAAAATTAATAAAAATTAATAAAAATTAATAAAAATTAATAAAAATTAATAAAAATTAATAAAAATTAATAAAAATTAATAAATTAATAAAAATTAATAAAAATTAATAAAAATTAATAAAAATTAATAAAAATTAATAAAAATTAATAAAAATTAATAAAAATTAATAAAAATTAATAAAAATTAATAAAAGTTAATAAAAATTAATAAAAATCAATAAAAATTAATAAAAATTAATAAAAATTAATAAAAATTAATAAAAATTAATAAAAATTAATAAAAATTAATAAAAATTAATAAAAATTAATAAAAATTAATAAAAATTAATAAAAATTAATAAAAATTAATAAAAATTAATAAAAATTAATAAAAATTAATAAAAATTAATAAAAATTAATAAAAATTAATAAAAATTAATAAAAATTAATAAAAATTAATAAAAATTAATAAAAATTAATTAAAAAAATTGCTAGGTATCGCATGAAAAATTTATCTCAAGTAACGAACTGTTGTTCACTTTTAATACTTAATTGATATTTGAGAAATTCCAGCGCAGCGGGATCGGCTCAGCTAGTATTCCATAAAATAGAAAAACGACCCCCCCCCCATAAAGTACCCCCTCAGGTGTTCCGACTAAGCCCACAATCTAATCAGTTCACCGCAGGCCGGAATAAAGCTTAAGTTTAAAATTTTGTGTTTTTTTTTTCCTCTGTACCTGTTCATGAGTTATCGAGTACACATACACACACACACACACAAACAAGAACACACAAACACGCGCACACACGCGCGCACAACCGCACTTACACTCGCACCCACGCTCACACGTGCACACACGCGCGCGCACACAGACATACATAAATACACACAAACACACACACACTCGAACACACGCACACCATTCGCTAAGCTAAATAAATGTACAAAAGTTGTTTATGTAACTACTAATGCAAGTATTGTTAGAGGAACATTTTTTCAATTACGGGCCTGTTGCCACCTACCGCGCAAACTCACAAAACCTAAATTTGAGTTCCCTCGTTTTCCAAGCTGTCAAATCAAAATCCATTCTCCTTATTTCATTTCTGTGATCTTCAAACTACATACATTGCGTTCGGTCTGCCAAGTTCCTTTAACACTTTTGACTCCAAACGACCCTTTTAGCGTTCGGTTTAGTCCGATTAGTGACAGTTTAACACGCTTAAATGTCATTTAAAAGCACCCTAACATTTGTCCCGCTCCAGCTCCTGACTATCCGAACTCGCCTATAAAGCGACGACTATCGAATATAAATTAAATTATAATTAAACGTCAAACGTCAAATTTTGACAAATGACGTGACATTAAGGAAATTTCTAACCATAATCAAAATTCTGTCAGTTCTTTTAACATTTTTCATTATCATTACATCCAGAAATCGCAATTTAATGTTCATTCCTCACAGTTGATGTATTTGTTATATGGCTGCAGAAAACTTTTCCTAATGCAGTATTATAAGTGGATTGTTCAACACTGGAATTCAGATTTAAATATATTAGTGTCAATGATAACTCCAACATAAATATAAATAATATTATGTAGTACCTACAATCCAATAAATTTGAATAGTTTCAAGCTCCAATAAACGTAATGGGTATTTGCTGGTGCAAACAGAAGAATGAAGAAAGTGATACATATATACCACCACAATCACCGAACAGCCTTCAAGTTCACAATATTATTCAGCCTGTCTCACCTGTTAGTACTCAGTATTCCTTTAGGCTTTCAAAAATACCCGATGCTTCATATGTCGACAAATTAGTACTTGAAACTTTAGGTGTTATTGCTACCCTAGTTGATAAGTAAGTAAATCTAAAATATACATGAGTAATATGAGTATAGAACTAAAATCTAATGCAGAATTCTTGTCTAGTTATGTGGAAAGTAGTTATTGAAGAAAGTTAACTATTGATTAATTGCAGTTAGATAAAAAAATTTAAAGACAAATGTGGATATTGATGATATTAGAACTGCCATATCACTGCAAAAGTAGATTTAATGCTTGAAAACATTTTAAAGTTAAGAAATATGTTGACACAGGATAAAAGGTGGATGTATCTACAAAATTGTCCAAACAACTCATGTCTTATTAGTGTCATGAGTTCTGTATAAGCTTTTTATTGTTTTCCATTGCCTATTTAGAAAACCTATTGATTTGAATAAAATATCTTTCCATAATAGAATATAAGTGATTTTAGATATTTATGTTTTATTCAAAAACTACAGAATAGCTTCCAATACTTAAGATCATGATTATTACACATATAGGACTAATAACAATTACATTATCTAAAGATATCAAGAACAATATTATCAGGAATTTCAAAAGTAATGGTAACATTACAAATAAAATGGAGTTTGTCTAAAATGACATCAACAAATTTATTTAACCAAATACATGTATACTTTCTGAAAAAGCTGTTTTACTAAAAATAATTATTAAATTATAGTTTAATACAATTTTAACAATATGTGATCTGGCTTGAAAGTAATATAATTAAAAATAGTGAAAAGTAAAGTGATGATGGGTATTGCCTTTATTTGTTTTAATTAATCATAATTCAAATAATTGTAAATGAGTAGATAAATATTATCTATTTGTAAATAACATAGGTACAATTAATTAATACATTTAAAAAGTTTACTACCATATAAAGAAATATAGTTTTTTGAATATTAAATATCTTTATTAAAATCATCAAACACCTGCATTGTTAACTATTCAGTCATTGCAAATAAATAGTTTCTAGTACATTTAGATAATTATATTCTATAGCATTGCTATGCCAAAATGTTAGCTAATATTTAAATAATATTTTTGTTTGTATATATTGTTAGACTTTCAGGAAATAAAATGGATTATCTTTTCATATTATAATTTTTTATTTTTAACAACTTTCAGACTGACTGACAAAGGTTGACATTTTTATTATATTTATAAAAACTGTTGCTACAACATTAACTAAAACTATCAAATCAATCACTAAATCTTAACATGAACACTTAATCTTAACATCCCCCCTCGATTTATACTCTGTAGATGCAGAGTGTCAAATCGAATGAACGTCAAATCTTGTACCATTTACTTCAAATTTAGTTTTTGTCTGAAATTTGTAAATTTTTCCTTGCAGAGAGGTTTAGTAAATATATCTGCTAAATTTTCTTCTGAAGGGACATAATTAATCTCTATGATATTTTTTTGTACCAGATCTTTTATAAAATGTTCTTTTATGGAAATATGTTTGGTTCTTTTTGAATTTTCAAAGGTTTGTACCATAGATATTGCCCCTTTGTTATCTACGAGTAGGACAACAGAATCACTGGGTTTATGAAAATCTTCTAGAATTCCCTTTAAGTATACCAGATCCTGAGCTGATGAGGCTGCGGATACGTATTCAGCTTCAGCTGTAGATAGTGCAACACAATTCTGTTTCTTAGATCCCCAGGAGACAGCATTACCTTTGAATAATACAAGAGAACCAGATACACTTTTTCTATCTTTGGTATCTCCGCCCCAGTCTGCATCGGAGAAAGCTTTTAATTTCCAAATTTCGTCTTTTTCTTCCTTAATGTAAACAAGACTTAATGCTTTAGTGTTTTGTAGATATCTTAAAATCCTTTTTGCCGCTGTCCATGATTTTTTTGTTGGTTTATCCAGCACTCTGCTAAGATAAGATGTTGCATAAACTATATCTGGTCTACTAGTCGTAGCTAGATACATCAAGCTACCTATAAGTTCTCTATATGGAACATCCTCAACGATTTCTCGCTCATCCTCATGGCTAAAACCAACTTCCATCGGTGTAACAGCTGGTTTGCAATCCAACATCCCAAATTTTTTCAAAATTTTGTCGATAAAGTGAGTTTGCTTAAGCTCTAGCGTGTCTTCTCCTCTTGTAATTTTCATTCCTAAAAAGGTTTCTACTTCGCCCATATCTATTGCTGAAAATGTAGTTTTTTAAAGCAGCAATAAATGCGTCACTATTTCCAATCACCAATAGATCGTCAACGAAAACCACTACCCAAACTTTTTCATTATAATAAAGGCAAACATCGTGCAAAGATCTTTTTAATCCTTGATGCTGTACAAATTTATCAAAGGCATCATTCCAGCATTTTGGTGCTTCCTTTAATCCATACAAAGATCTTTTCAATTTGAGTACTTTGTTGTTAGTATCTGGTGATAACATACCTTTAGGATATTTAATGTATACTTCGGAATTTAAATAGCCATTGAGAAACGCTGTTGGAATATCAAATTGACGAATAGGCATATTATCTTGAAGTGCTCTAACCAAAAACATCCGTATTGTAGCCATTCTGGCTACAGGTGAATAAAATTTGTTGTATATATTGTATTCTTGAATTTGTTGAAAGCCTTTTGCTACTAGACGTGCCTTTTTTATGCCATTTTCTTTAGTTCTGAAGACCCATTTTGTATCAATGGCCTTCTTATCTGGAGGCAAGACTGCAGGATGCCAGGTTTCGTTTTTATGTAGAGCTTTCAGTTCTTTGTCCACGGCTTTTTGCCACTCAGGAAATTTAATTGCTTGCTCATACGTTTCAGGGTCATTTTCGTTTGCTATTAAACAGTATGCCGAATATAATTCAAATTCGTCGAATTTACTAGGTACTTTTTTTGTTCTTTGAGGTCTCTCTATTGAGCCACTTAGTGTGTCTTTAATAGTTTCTTTTTCGGGTTTATTTTCATTTTCTTCTATTTCTTCGTATTGAATTTCATATTGGTTGTCTTTATTACTATCAGTGATAATTTTATTTTCTAAATAGTTTATATCACTTTCATCAAACCTCACGTCTCTTGATATGAAAATTTCATTTGTTTTAGGATCCCAAAGTCTATAACCTGCTCCTGCATATCCTACCATTCGTGCTTCTCTAGCTCTCGTCTCAAGTTTGTCTGCTTTTGGAAGTTTATAAGCATATGCTTTTGATCCAAAAATTTTTAATTTGCTGAGGTTGTTTCTTCCTTGACATATTTCTACAGGTGTATTACCTTTTAATACATTTGAAGGTGATCTATTTAACTGATAAGCAGCACAACGAATAGCTTCACCCCACAGAAATTTAGGCATACTAGTTTCAGCAAACATAGTTCTTACTTTATCAAATAAAGTTCTATTAAGTCGTTCTGCTACTCCATTCTGTTGAGGAGAATATTCGATCGTGTATTCTAGTCTTATACCTTTAGTATGGCAAACATTTTTCAAATCTTTTGTAGTAAATTCTCCACCTTTGTCGGTTCTTATTCTGCTTATGGTGTTTCCTTTGGCCTCCATTTCACGAATATAACTTATGAGGTTATCTTTTGCTTCAGCTTTGGATTTTAGTAAATAAATTACAGTGAAGTGAGAAAAATCATCTATAATTGTTTGATAATATTTTTCATTATTCAACGTGGGAGTACTGATAGGACCCCCCAAATCGCTGTGTAGGAGCTCTCCTACTCTTGTTGATCTTGGATGCTCTAAGCTTTTGAATGGTAGTCTTGTTGATTTTCCTTCCATACAAGGCTTGCACATATCTGGGCTAATTGGCAATTTCAAAATTTTTAGGCCTTTTCTATTTAGATGGCCTAGTCTTCTGTGCCAAAGGTCTGCACTAGTTAGCATACTGTTTTCTTTTGCTGCTCTTACAAAAGTGGCTATATACAAGTTTCCTACTAGGTTACACATCATAACTAAGCCTTTGTTATCTGATATCTTTACTTTATTTTTATGAAACTCTACTTTTTTACCAGATTCATTTATTTTTCTAACGGAAAGTAAATTACAGGTAAGATCTTGAACGATTAATGCTTCCAATGTAACCTTTTTGTTTCCATATTTTAATCTTATTTTTCCTTTCTTCTCTGCTACTAGAGATTGACCATTTGCGATTCTTATTCTAACTACATTGTCTAATATCTTAACGTCAGTCATGCTTTGTTCTTCTGTTTCTTTTATTAAATGTTCTGAGGCTCCAGAATCTATGACAAAATTAATGACATCTACATTATCTTCTACTTTCATTTCTGCACTAAGTGCTACAAATGATACTTCGTCTTCGTAGTAATCGTCACCATCGTCTTCTGCTATGTTTGCTCTATCGCTATAATTTCTTCTTGAGTATGAGTATCTTCCGGGTCTACTTCTATAACTATACGGGGCTCTACTTAGTTTTTGATTATGAAAACCTCTATTTTTCTTTCTACATTGTGACGCTAAGTGATTTGTTCCACCACATTCATAACATCGTCTGTCTTCTCTGTGAGAATTAAAGAAGGTGCACTCTTGGCTTGATTTTGGTTCAATTTGATTTTGACTATTTTTCATCTTTAATTCCGCATCCAAAAGCCTACTTTTTACAAATTCTAATGTAATATTGTCAGATGTTAATGTTTCTAGTGCCGTGATTACAGTATCGTATGTTCCTGGCATTGTGAGTAGCAGGTGGCAAATTTTATCGCTATCATCAAGTTTGGTTCCTGTGGCTTCCAGTTCTCTGATCAATCCATCAAACTCTACGAAATGATCTTGTAAATTATCTTTGGAACATTTTAGAGACAAAAGTTTCTTTCTGATAAAAAATTTCGAAAAAGAGCTTTTTCTTTCGAATACATTTTTCAATGCAATCATCATTTGATAAGCAGTTTTTGACTCTTTAATATACTCCAGATGACGATCAGTTACGCACTGTATAATTATAGAACGAGCTTTAGCATCCTTTACTAGTAGATCCTCTTTCTCTTTTTCTGGAGTTTCAGTGGTATATAGTTCTTTTCTTATTACGTTTTTACATTGCT